ATTTAAAATCCAAAATTTGGGCTTCAAGATGTACACGACTGGGTGGAAGACTATATTTATTAACAATTTGGTGGCTCTTGGTGTCATCATTTTCTCACAATGCAAGAAACATGCATACGGATCCTTCATTGCTATTATTATCATTTAATAATACATGGTGATAACATTTGATAGCAAGAATCTGAAAAGTGAATCAGACACAGAAATAGTATGGACCAAAAAGTGAGTTTTGAATTTAACAGCACTGCCGTTGCTAAAAGAAAGCTCTACATATATGAAGTACGAATAGAATATCTATCTTAACCTATTGAAATTACTTTTATATAGTTTATAAAGCTTCTTTAGTTAAATGTAATTTGGCATTCAGCAAAGATATTTCTTCTCAGTTTGTAATGTTTTCCATTAGAAGTTTCATACTGTTCTTGATCTATAAAATAGATAATGATTGTTTTCAAAAACATATCCATTCTATTGATTCGGTGATTGGAAAATCACTAATAATCTGGCTGTTGTGATGGCAATCACTTTTATAATTGTCTTGATCTTAATTGAGTTGCAGACAGTAATTGTGCAGAAGATTTTATGATTTTATTGTTCTACCAGAGACAGACTAATGGTTAAATAGCAGAACTTCAGTAAAGGATTTAAAAAAAAAAAAAAAAAAAATTATAAATCTAAATTCTAACTTCTATTTTGCAACTTATTTATAACTAACTAATCTATAAATATAATACCAGCTGCATTTTTCTTATTTGCAACAGCCCAATAATTGTCTATTTTAATTTCAACATTTTCCTTTACCATCCTCATACTAGAAACTGCTTATAATATATATATATATAGTATATATATATAAAAACCAAGTTACAATAAACCTCTGTAGACAACATCATTCCAAAATTAATGTTCCTTGTGATAGTCTTAAATAACACACACAATGCAGATACTTACATAACACTTCAGCCAACACTGATTTCAAATCAGGACACTGAAACTCAATCCATCAAGATAAAGTAAAATTAAATCATTTTGAAAAGGGATTTCATCTTATACATGTCACATTTTCTCTTTTGCTTCCATCCTGTCAACCTGCTTGCTACATTACTTTTTTACTCCAAAAAATTAACTCTTAAAGATGTAGAGAAGTCACAAATGTGTTCAAAAATGAGCATGTTGATTGTGGCCACATAGTGTTATTCAAAGAACACGTTTCTCAAGAAGAAAGAAATATTAAATGGCAATTTACACAACTTACATAACTTTATGCATCTCCATGGGAACAACTTCCAAATTATTTCATATATCTATGTAAATATTGTTTTTAATAAGTACATTATTCTTTTCACATTACTTTATCATTAAAATTTTCTCATATCCATATTTCATTTCACACAATTTCCAAATTCACTGAAACTTTCATAAATAAAAATTAGTTTATTTCACACATTTCCACACAAGAATAAAAAGATTGATACTTTCCTCCATAATATTTTCAATTATTATACCTACATTGCTTAGCAATAAATATTTCCACTGTATTCCATAAATTTCATTTCAAAAACCATATATTCAACATAAAATACATAAAAATATATCTCGAAATTGAAAATACATATAAATTTGACAATTATAAAAAGTTTTAAGCATACAGTTTTATGCCTTATAAGCATCAACTCAGTACCAAATGTTCAGTTAAATAAAAGTATATTCTTGCTACAACAATTAGGAACAGAATCATGTACTTTAAATATTACCAATAAAATTAGATATAATATAGAAATATATTCTATAAAATAAAAATTAATATATATACTGATATTTACAAAGTGAAATTTTATAGAATAATTTTAGTTTTCATTTTATATGTTTTTCTTCCCCACATAAAACTTTATGATACAAGGTTAATCTATTAAATATGTCAAAGAACCTTGTAACACATGTTTTTGACTAACATATCAAAAAAAAACTTTTTTTCTTTTCTTTTCTTAAATAGCATCCTGTCATTTTCCATCAAACATAATGAATATTTACATCTAACAAAAATTCCTAAAAATATTTTATAGGAGATTTACGTTTTGCTATCACTTTTCTAAAAATAAAATATATTGTACCAACTTTGAAACAGCACAGCAAATATTTTGAGGTGATTTAGTTCACATTCAAGAAAATGAGAAGACACTTCTTAGGATTCATTAATTTTAGGGTGGAGGGAATATCTCTACTCAATTTGTAATTTTTTAATTAAACACATTATAACAAAAATACATTACTATTCTCTGTGTGCATGTGTATATATATATACATTACTACTGTGTGTGCGTATATATATATATATACACACACACACACACAGTAGTAATGTATATATATGCCTAGAAATCTTAGTATCTGTTTCTTCTTTTCTGTGCCTCTCACAAATCACAACTAGAAAGTACAAGGAGACCTTAACTCTGCATGCGTTATCAGATACTGGTGAACGTAATACGATTTCAGTTTCCTGTTTAGAAGTCCTATAGCATCATAAAAAAACAATCTCCAGCATTTCAAAAAAGGAAAAAATGTCAAAATCTTACATAAACAGCGGTTGGCAATACTCTTTTGCCTAATTGAATTGCACATTTTCACAAACATGTCACAATTTTTTCATTCATAAATAATGGAGTATATGATAAAAAAAGAAAAAGAAAAAGAGCTATACGATGCAGAAATTGGTGGACTCTCCAAAGGCTTTACAAATTGCTTCAAATGGAACAGCTATCCAAAGAAAATGACAAGGGAAAGTGAAGCACACTCAGCAGTGCATGTTAAGAAATTAGCAGTGAAATTAAGAGGTTCAGGGCTTTAAAGTTCTGATGTTAGAAAAATTTTCAAAGTCTTCCATTCATCTTATATACTTAAGTTATAGAACCAAAACATTATTCTTATACATGGCCTGACATGCTGCCATTTCTTACAGCTGCAGCCAATATTGTAACTGTAGATCTACAATTTATCTTCTCTGGTAAGCTCCAATTCTAATACTTGTCAATCTTGGGCCGAAAGATATTTTTTTTTTAAATCGACACTGTAGATAGGGCAGACTGAGTGATATACTTATTCCTTACTAATTTTTACCTTTAATGTAATAATGTACCTATTCACTATAATTTATCAAGCATGAAGTTCATAATTTTCATGAACATTTTCAGAAGAAGTGCACTTCATAAAAAGTGTTTCTGAAGCAATATATTATGTACTTGGTTACAGATCCCCCCATTTAAGTAAATAACAACTTCAACTGGAAATGAAGCACAGCCATTAACTCTCATGATTTCCATCAACAAAGCAAATACAATAAACTGTGTTCATTTTATGATCTCCATAGGCATGGATGATTTTCCTTTTAATTAAAAAAGGCAGATAATGTTTTTACACTGTTTAACCAGTGATAATGTTCTACATGTAATATTTTGATTTTGAATCAAATTTTACCCACAAAATATGATAGTTGTGTACTGAATTTTAGCATTTGAATATACTGGTTGACTTTACAAGCACATAAGCTTGTAAAGTCAACCAGTATATTAAATTGTTATTTTGACATTCTCTAATTAGAAATGGTTTAGTCAAATGCAGATTTAACAAGACAGCTATGAAACCACTTGTTGTTTATGAACTATAATAATACAACGGATGGTACTGATTCATGCTATCAAGACATGTTATATTATCCTACTATTAGAAAACAACAAGGAAAATAGGGCATAATCTTTTTGGATAGTTCTTGAATAAACTGCTGTGGACAGCTTATGTTCTTCATAAACAATGAAATCTATATAAAAGATAAAGCTTATCATCAACAAGTTTCATCTACAAATGACTCAGTAAAGTACTGAAAAATATTCAAATGGAGATGAAAGTGGCACATTTAGAATACCTAGTTCCAATCTCTATCCTGAGATTAACATCTTGTCATTCTGCAAGCCATATACCTACAGACCCCATATAAAGCAGCCTTGTGGACAATATGCCATTTGATGCTAAAAAAACAACTGACAAGAACTTGCAAAGAAATTCAAATCTGGCGCAAAGCATCTGGACTTGGCCTTGAACCATGTTTTGAGATCTGTCACACTAAATTTACTGCCTAGAATATTTAGGCTAGTAATAGTACATTTCCTTTAGTACATAATTTTTGTATTTTATTTAATAAATTGGAATGTAACTGCAAATTAATCAAAATTTGTTTTCAAAATTTTGCTTTCAATATAACAACATCTGAAATTCAATATTTTAAGAAAATCTATTTTCATGGAAAAAAAAAAAAAAAATTTAATGCATTTAAGCATTTTTCAAAAAAATTTAATTCTTAAATGCATATTAATTTGAAATATATGTAAAAAAAATTTGAAATTTTTTAAACAGTTTGGGTTTAAAGAATTAAGACTACAGATCTCATAGAACTTAAGAGAAAACACAACAGATATGCATTTCACAAATTTTTAAAAATTTTTTTCTTTTAATTATAATAACTAACATTAGGCAATTTTGAACCCGTATATTTCACAAAGCAAAACGGTTTTTAGCATTACGTTCTGATAACCTAAAATCTTTTAACTGAATCTAACATTATTTATTTATTTTGGCTTTAATTAATGCAGTAAATCTCAGAAACCTTGTAAAATGAGATGCATTTGTACATAATAAATTACAATTCATAAAGAAAAATACTGAATGGATTAAAAGTTAACACTGATGTATAAGAATTTACTATGTTTCAGAAACTGTTCAATTGTTTCAGAAAACTGTTAAAATGATACTTTTCATAAAAATTACCTGTTAAAATAACTCGCATAACTATACACATATGTCTCAGCTGATAACCACAAATATTATTATTTACATGATACCTAAGATTGAGGGCACAAATAGGTTCAAATATTTTCTTGAAAACTATGAAGCTTTTGCTATTATTGCTCAAATGCTGATAAAAATCTTTAAAATTTGACAAACTTGGTTCATTATTTATTGTTATGTTTATTGATAGCAACAAGGATTTTGTGCAAATGATAACAGATAATGTGATTGTTATACACAAGCAGCAAACTGTACCTTGTCCTTCTCCATTGATGAGGATGCAGCTCCGTCAATTTAGTCAATGAAATTATTAATTAAAGAATTTTGAAAAATATTTCTCTTAACACAAATTAAACAAAAATATATGAAAATTTTGTTTCATTTTTATAATTTTAATTTATTTGCTAATTTGGTACAGCAATACATTTCTGTGATGAGCTTAATTTCAGCTATTTTCATTAGAAGAGGGATGTATGTTAACTAGAACAATATGCACAATTTCTTATATTTACTATGTTACTTTCAATCTTTTTATATTAATAGCATTACAAACAAAACAAAATTAAAGTTTGCTTTATTTTTACTTAATTTAAGATATATACCATAAATCCGTGATCTTGATTATAATTTTTAAACAAAAATCTATAATATATTTTACAGCAAATCAATTTTCATTCGTTTAAGAAATCCAACATTCTGTTTTTTACATATTTAAAAAGGGGGGAGGGGAAGAGAGAAAGGGAAGAAAAACTAAAATAAGTAGAATTGTTTCAGAAACAGCATTGTGACAAGTCATATAACTTAAATCTTCCTTTAGTAACACAGCCTTAGCATACACTTTTACCATAACAATAAATTTTTCTTAGACTGTTTAATAGGTTACTTAGCAGAATATAAAAAATTATTAAGAAAATCTTATTAATATTTTCTTAATTAAATAACTGAGAAAATATTTTGATTTCAAATTAAATGCAAACGATTTAAGATTCTTTTGATGTAATTTTAAATTTCTTAAGAATTTACTCCATTCTACATAATCAATTCATTTAAATAAAAATGAAATATTAATTTAAACCAGATTTCAAAAATGTATGCACTCTATTTCTGCATAATATACACAAATATATAAAAGTATCCATAGGTACAGAATATATATATATATCCACTAATCATTTCAGAGTATGAAAGTGTATGAATTCATGTGTGTGGCATATGCATATTAAGGAGGTGAGGGAATTTATAAACTGAACCCTAAGTATGAGTTCTATATCCATATAAAATCAGAATTTCTGGGAAAAAAATACAGAATTTTTATAGTACCATTATAAAAATACTTCTGCCATGTACAAAGTGGAATGTCATCTAATACAGCAAGAACAGCAAATGGAATATTTAGGAAGTGATGAAAAATTAAAGAAATAATTACTAATGAAAATATTGTTCTTTCCTGTACATTTTTACACAGCAGCTTTTAGTCGCATAATACTTTCTTGCATATTAGTTTAACAAAAATTTAATATGTTCCCACTAACATCATTTCGATAAAGCCTCTTTTAGTTCTTTGAAAAACATAGATCCAATGATCATTTTTTCACAGTTCACAGTAAGAATTGCTTTACCATTGTTCAAGACTTGGATGGAAATAAGAACCAAACATTTTGTAGAAGGTGTTACACCAGAAAACCTATTTGTAATAAAAAGAAATATAATCAGATTTTTCAAATTAATGACAGCTACAAAAATAAAATGATCAAACCATTACAAAATAAAAAATTTTATATATATAAACACAAAGGAAATTTGCAAAAGAGATTACATACATTATTGCAAAACAGATTACATTTATATTATTACAGTATAAAAAAATCTGATGTGTACACCACGACTTCCTTGTACGGAATATTAAATTATATGCATTTTTTCTTGCATTTCATTTAAACTTATTGGATTGAATTAAATCTACATTGTCGATAGCATATAAACCACAATAGAATAAATGCACTCTTTAAAATTCACTATATTTGTTTACCATAGCGACACTCTGGCGCTAGGTTCACTTAACAACATTATATTTCGTTCATATTATAACTCATAATGCAAAAAATTTATATCATTTGAAGAATTATCTAATCGTTGCCACATGTTCTATTCAAATACTATAATAAATCTAGAACGATGTATAACAGAAATTAAGCAAACAAAACAAAAAAGAAACAGTTTTTCACAGATGATTCAGTATTTCTCATTGAATTAATACAGTTCTCACTTCAGGACAAGGCAAAAATACATAAAAACTCTAAATATCTATATTAAAAATTGCCAAGTAAATCTTAAACACTTATTTCCTCGAAAAAATTCTGGAAAGGATTAAGCATGATTTAATTCGCAGTAATAAATAAAGGCGTTATCTTTGTTGTTGCGAAGCTTAGTCACTCTAGATTGGCAACAAATCTACTATTCTGCTGTTTCAAATGTAAACAAATATGTCCACCATGTTATTTAAAAATTAGGCTTAAACGCACTTAAACAGCATTTAAATTGTTGATAATTCTACAAATATTGCTTGCAGATTTCCTAAAGGCATAAAAACTGGAAGATAAGAAAAACATAATTCAATCATTTCTAAAGCAAAAATGCACAATTTACAAACATATAAGAGTAAAGAAACTGAGATCACTGAGCCGGATAACAGAGTGGATATATATACATATATATATATATATATACGTTTAGTATGGCCGATTGTAAACAAAACATGTTATAGCAGTCCTACATACAAAATTTCAATGTTGTGAGGCTACTCGTTTTTGAGTTATGCGAGATACGTACGTACTTACAAACACCACGAAACTTTCTCTCCAGAATTTATTTTAAAGCAGTTTTATAATTTTTTTGGAGGAAAAGAGTCTTTTATTCTGTCCTTACGTACAAATGTCATGCAAAAGCATTGTTAAATTGCATTCGATAGCAATCAAAAAGGATATTTTTGTTGAAATATGCTGCCTGAAACTTTCTGGGATTACAATACTTCCTTTTTACTTTGTACAAGGAATTAAACAATTCTAATAATCTGTGATTGCTCAATCTGCGCTCATTTTTGGATGTAAACATGCAAAGTTTCAATTTTCAGAAAATTCAGTACAGTAAATTTAATAATAACTTTTTATTACATAAACATGCAGATAAACCTTTTAAAGAAATACGTATTTATAGAAGGGAGATTGAAGAAATGAATTTATTTAATTACCAAAGCTGTTTAGCATCTCAGTAATATATCATGTAATTTATATAATAAATATAGATCATGAATTTCTACAAATTTTTTGTTTTAGGTAAGTTATTATTTTTGGGTTTATATTTTATCATTTTTCAAAATTAATGCTGAATTCACGTGAATAACTCAAAATTAACTTTTGCACATAAGATCTATAAATGACCTACTTATTCACAACTTTTCAGACATTACCCTCCACGTTTTATTTGATTTGTTTGCATTTCACGCAATAAACAAGCTTCTTTATGAACAGACAGAGTGTTAAAAAGGAATGCTTCTGGAGACTTTTTTGGAAATAAAAATTGAAAATGTGCTAACAAGCAGTTAGTTATTTGTATATAATTTTATTTAAAAAAAAATTAAATTGCAAAATTTTACTTGCTTAATGAAAGAAATCAGGGAAGGGTGCTGAGCAAGTGAAACTTTTTTAGTAATTAAAGTAAGTGTTCCAAGGACTTGTCATACAAAGCAATTCACATTTTGCAATGCTGATGCATGGACCATCACGCATTTTCAAAGATGCTTACGAATCCATGCAGCTACTTCAAAGACTTCTGCGGTAAAGTCTTCAATAGATATAAAAGGGGTTTCTTAAACAAGAATTTTCAAGTACTTTTAAGGAAGAAATCAAGGTGGGGGAGGAGTGCAAGTCCAGAGATTGCTAAAGCCCTAGAATGATGGAGCCACTAGGGGGCCAATCCATTTTAACAGGTAAGTCAGAGTGATCTAATACTGCAAAATTTGACTCAAGTGAACATCCAGCTATGCTGAAATTATATGTTACAGCATAGCATATGCCTGTCAGGACCGCTCTAATAACACATCATCCAAGAATATCCGTTATATTCTTCAAGAAAGCCATACTGAGAAGTAGTATAAGCTTAGCAAACCATATGTTCTCAGCTCCTGCCCATATTTATGGTAAATTGCTCTTGAGCACCATTTTGCACGACTGCTTGCAGGTTTTAATAAACCCATGTAAGCCAGTTAAACATCATTCCTTAAAAATGCAACTTAATCAGTAAAACAAATCCAAACTGGCAGATTTGTCTGTGCCGAGGCTTACTGGAAAATCCATATTGCAAATGCAAGTCACAAAGGGTACTCTCCTTCAAGCATAAAGCTATACTGAATGTGGTAAGGGTGTAAGGACTCATTGTGCAATATACAAAACACACTGAATTGCAAAAGCCAACGTTAATAAGACGTGATATGTGGGGTCACGTTCACTTTCACATTTGACTGCTTTTTCTATAACAGGTGAATGCATCATTCGCTGTCGACCACCACATCTGTTTACTTCAAATGCCCATTTATACATAACCATTGGTGCAAAGGGCTCCATTCATTTGGATAGACTTGTTGACACAAATAGAGCCATTTCTTTTGCTTTCTTATAAATAAAATGCATCTCAGCATCACATCAGTGCTCCAGCCCATATCAATAACATTCATGCCTCAAACGACTCTGTAATGCAAGCCCCAACTCGCTTGCAAAGAAGTCTCCCTAGTGGTTGTTCACTGCATTTGCAACCCCAGGTTCTGTTGTAAAAATTACCGTAATTTCGCGCGTATAGTCCGCGGACTACCTGTGTTTAAAATGCTATTTTTGAAGCTGCGGATAATACGCTGATTGTTCACGGTTAAAATCGTTGAAATTTAAAAAACACGCTGTCGTGAACTGCCAATGATCAAATATAAAAAAAGCGCGAGATTCCAAGAAAACATTCATATGTATCGTATCGATAGTAAACCATAGAGCATAGTGCAGAACGAATGAGTAGTGGCAAGTAGAGCTCCTAAAATCCAGGCTGGCGCATCAAGCGATGTCGGGATATGAGCCAAAGAAAGTCTTGTATGAGCACTCACTTAGCGCAACCAGAGTCTTGTATCCCAGTATCCTTCGCACTGCTTTAAGCACAACTGACTGCCAGGAGGGGGAAAAGTAGTTGATATGTCAGTTCGGTTTTTAGGAGTCATAGTAGCAAGTACCTGGAGTACGAAAAAAAATTTTGATTCGTTTACTTATAGCGCAGTTTGGCAACACCGAGTGAGTAGGGTCGAAGGTCACGTTTCATTACCACTTATCACGAGGATAGCACGTTGCACAGTATTTTGTTTTCGTATTTTGTCTTTCATCTTCGATTAACATTGATGAAACATCGCCGGAGTTTTACTGCTGAGTTAAACTCAAGGTAGTTGAGAAAGCTGAAAAAGATGGAAATAGAGAAGTGGGCCGTTATTGGTTTAATCTTAGTATCCGGTGCACATGGGATTTGGCTACTTTTGGCGACTTTATGATGAGCAGTGAAAACGGGACATATACAATGAGTAGTTAACGGGTCATTCAAAGAAAATATATAGTTAAACATAGTATATACTATGTATACATAGTATATATACTATGTGTGTATATACATATACTATGTGTGTATATACATATACTATATGTGTATATACATATACTATGTGTGTATATACATATACTATATGTGTATATACATATACTATGTGTGTATAGTATATATATATAGACGTTCTTTGGATCATTTTTGGTGTTGGCGATAATTTTCAAAGTCGTGCCAAGGCTGCACCGTATACTAGGATTTTACCCCATTATTTTGAAGTGGACGAGAAAGCGCTGAGAAATTGGTGCAAACAAAAGGATGTGTTTAAAAAGCATGGGAATATTGCCGTATTAAAAAAACGTAATTTTGGACATATAGTCCACGGACTATCTGACGATTTTTGAAATTTTTTTACATAAAATCGTGTCTGTGGACTATACGATGGTGCGGACTATACGTGCGAAATTACGGTACTTGTTTGTGTATGCCTGAACTACCCTTAAAAACTATTAATGGATTTTTAAACGATCCTGTACTTATATTTCTCATTACTTACCAGTATATTTAAATTAGGAAACAGAAAAAATAATTCTAAGTAAAAAAATTTATAAGCAATAAGACACTGCATTCTAATTCAAAGCAATAAATAAATATTATTTTACATGACATTAATATTTTACAAGGTTTTAACTTTATTTAATTATGAATGAAGAATTATTCAAACTGATAATTACATAATGAGAAGATTTTTATATTCAGTACGACAAGTGGCATCAAATTAGAATGAGCAGGCTGTATAATGCCATATGTCTTATACTAAAATGGACATAAAGTACTAAATTCAGACCTATAGATTTTGCTTGTAAATCAAATACTCTAAAACTAGTAGTCAGATGGTTAAGATCATAGAACACAGGTAGCTCAACCTAAATTCTAATCTACATAGGTTGATCCAAAAAAAAAAAAAAAGTTTACAAGCAGAAGCATTTGAAACGTAATAATTGTAGAGCAAATATTTCCACTCAGGGTGATTGACAGATGGTGCTAGTTGTCCTATAGCGGTTCTACGAGTTTGTGGAACGAATATTTCCACCCAGGGTGGTTGACAGATGTGCACTAGTTGTCCTACAGCGGTTCTACGAGTAAGTAGCGTCAGTACGCAGACACTTAAAGAGCGACAGTAATGGCACGACGTCTAGAAAAGTGGTCTCGCATAGAGGTGCGAGCCGTAATTCGATTCTTATGGGCCAAGAATGTGGCCACATCCGAAATCCACAGACAAATCGTTGAGGTATACGGGGACAAAGCAATGAGTAGACAACAGGTAGCGAAATGGTGTCGTTTTTATCAAGCGGGCAGGGAGCATGTGGAAAACTGCAATATGGAAGCGAGCAGCCATCCAAGTTCTTCAAGGACGGATATCAACACGGCACGTATTGAAGAAATCATTCAAAGGGATCGACGAGTAACCGTGCGTGAGATTGCCTCAGAGTTGGACATGAGTTATGGTAATGTTCAGCGTATCGTAACCGATGAGTTGTGATATTCCAAAGTTTGTGCCCGCTGGGTTCCACATGCATTGTCCGTGGAGCATAAGGCTACTTGAATGATGTGCAGCCTCACATTTCTTCAGCAATACCATTCAGACAGCCAACACTTAATTGATCGCATCATTACCGGTGATGAAACATGGCTTCATCACTTCACCCCCACATCCAAAAGAGCCACGATGGAGTGGAAACACGCTGGATCACCTACGAGGAAGAAGTTTAAGGTCACACCCTCTGCCGCTGATGTGACGGCAACCGTTTTCTGGGATATGACTGGTGTTATCCTAATCGAGTATTTGGAGCGTGGCTATACCATTAAGGCCGATAGTTATTGTGCCACCATACCGAAATTTCGTAAAGCCATCTGACGCAAACGGCCTGGATTACTGAGCAAATGTGTCATTCTTCTGCATGACAATGCCAGGCCCCATACAGCTTGCCAGACTCGGTAATTGCTGCAAAGGTTCAAGTGGGAGGTCTGGAATCACCCCCCCTACAGCATCGATTTGGCTCCGAATGACTATTTCAGTTTTCTGGCGTTGAAGCGATACTTATCCGGAACACGGTTCACCTCAGACGATGCAGTGAAAACAGCTGCCGAGAAATGGCTCGATGAGCAGGGCCCTGATGACTACCAAGACGGGATAAACAAGTTGGTCGAACGTTCTGACAAATGCCTAAACAGGTTTGTCGACTATGTGGAAAAGTGAAGGCCAGATGTGTCTCTTGATTCTTATTTGTATCTTGTTTCTATTGTTAATAAATACTTTTTCATTTGCCTTGTAAACTTTTTTTGGATCAATGCTGAAACTTCAACTCAGTTAAGAGGAAACTGCTCAAATTTATTATATAAAGGGGCCAACACTTATAAGGACGTCTGCGGCTAGGCGGGACATTTCCGAGAAATGCTTCATCTAGCTATACGAAACATTTTGAAACTTTCCCAAAAATGTTTCATCTGGAGCCGTGTTCCAAGTAGACACCCACCAATCAGATGAGAGTTCTGCTTCTGAAGGATCACAGGTAATTTTCATTATGGTGATGTCTCTCATTGTGAAATCATACATGGTGGAAATGTAAGAAAATTTAATTGAAGAAATACGGAAAAAACCGTATATATATATTGCTGTTTTGTTGTAGTATAACTAAGTCATTTTTAAAATGTTTATATATTCATTAAATTTATAATCATGGAAATTTCAGAGTAGAGAGTATTTTATGACATGTTTGGTGATGACGTGTTATTTCTGACAAATTGTTTACAAATTATTCTTCACCAAAAGTTCACCAAATTTGTCATATTTCGTGCTGATCATGTGGAAAAATTCTTATTGTAATATAATAGAATTTTTTTTATTAAGGGGATAATTTTTTAAAATATGTTTGCATATGCGCGACTTTATTTTTCTGCTATTTAATTTTATAACTTTTAAATTTAAATTGCATAGTCAGTGATAATGTTAAAATCAGCAATTATGTATTTTTATTAAAACACAGATTATGTAATAATGTAGATACACATTAAATTTGTATACTATTATCTTCATGTTATTAATGAAATGCTTTTTAGATTATAAACACATTAAGAACTATATTTTTATTACAAATGCTACATATTAAAACATTGGAAATTTATGGATTTATTATTATGAATGATGAAAAGCATTTGTATATACATTTATTAATATAAATGTTATTGATTACATTAATACAAATAAACATACATCAACAACTTCTAAACCATCGCGTCTCTCTCTGTGAATATATATATAAATGAATATAAAAATTAACATTACCAAAAAGTTTATTTGAAGTTACTTCTAATTCATATAATGATCATGTAAATGGCAACAACTAGTCATCAGTTCTTTGCACATTATCATGGATATGGAATACACAGTTGAAAAATAATTGAAGTGCATTTTGTGCATTCGGCTAATCATTAAAATTTACCGATTTACACACAACCTTTGCATTTGTAATTTACTTGGGTATTTAAATAAAAAAAATGAGAAAGTAGCCTTTACAAAATATTTAACATTTTGGGGGTAAAATAAATATTTTTCAGTCACTGCAAAACATATATCAGCAAATGACATTATAATGTGTACATAAAAGTTATTAAATAAATTGTACGATGTAAAAGCATTTACTTAATATATACAACAGATCGTTATCATTACAAAAATCAGAGTTAAAAATTATACAATTTAAAAGTAACAATTAATGTTATAAAATAAACACATGCCATTTTGCCAAGGTATTGAGCCAACAATATTAAAATAATTACAAAATATATTTTGCATATACACGGAATCTGAAAGCAAACATCTCTTTCACCAATCTGGGAGAGAACCGATTCCTGTTTGGCTTTCAAGCCTGTTTACCAAGTAAAGATGGTAATCCGCTTTGCGGAACTGCAGTTCCGAGAACTGTTTCTTTCAGTGTCATATTCCAGCAATAAATAGCATATGTGATTACAGTTTAAGAGGTATAGTAAAAAACTAAGCACAAATTAAGCTGAAAACAATATTTCCAAAAATGGATTTTAAGAATTCAGCATTAAATTCCAAAAATTCCTTAAACAAATAGTATACATATACTATTTGTTTAAGAATCATCATCAGTTTTTCTAAGCTTATTATAATAAGAGTGTTGAGTTTACTTATTGAAACAACAGTTATATACCACCATTCAGGACTTGAAGCAGTTGTTTACCCAACCAAGTGCCCAAGCTATAAACATATGCTCAAAAATATTTGTCATGATGCATATAAATACAGAAACAAGCATCTTAAAGGTATTCTGACAATTAAACTAGTATAAATAGGAAGAAAAAGGATCAAGATATAAAGATAATTTTGGAATTATAATTTAAAAAAATTACATTCATTCATGGTCTTTTGAGAAAGTTGAAAGTTTGAGGACAAACTCCAAGACCTTTTGGAGGACAAACCTTTTGGAGGGTTAAAAGTGCATAATGCATTTTTTATTAACTATTAAAAACACTTTCATTTAATAATAAACTTTTTTCATAGAATTTAATTTTTATTTTATTTTATTTATTTATTTATTGTCAACTCAAAAAGCTACCATTTTTGTTATCGATCATCAAAATTATCTGAATAGTTGGAAAGTTAATTTGAACATATACTATCATATGTATTGAAAATACAAGTATATAATTTCTTTATAGCTCACAGAGCTAAAACTATACATTTATATTTACTACTTGATCAGATATTAACCCAGCATTCTGCACTGATTAAAATTTACTTAACTTTTAATTAAAGTATTACAAAATTATTTAATTTATTTCTATTTTACCCTTTGATAAAATTCTTAAGAAATATAATCGAGCATATTTATGTTATTTTGATAAGCCACAGCAAATTATATAATAAAAATCTTCATTCTGTACCTGAGTATTTTAGATTCCTTGTCATTATTCTGAACTTGCATTACATTTGCAGCTTCATAAACATATTGAATGACAGCTTTTTCATCAGCATGGCCAGAAGACAAATCTATGGTTCCACTGTTTTCATTCATTCCTTTCAGTTTACCTTTTAAAGGATATCAGAAATTAAATCATTAAAAGGGCATTAAAAAAAACAGAAACTATCTCACAGAGGTACTATTCATGGAACTTCTTTCCTCTGATTAAATTCAATAACTATTGATTTAAAAAATTAAAATGTTATGATAAAGTAGCCTTTTCATCTAAAATTGACATCGAGTTTAGAAAACCTTTTTTTCATTATCATTACTATCACAGAATACCCAATTTACAGTAAAATAACAAAGTATCTAATTTTCCTATCAAAATCTGAGCTAAGAATGAAAACTACCTTCTCAACTTCCAAGTAATAACATAATAATAATAAAATGCAATCAAAACATTAATCTTTTTTAAACTGAAAATATGAAAAGTCATAGGAATATTTCCTTTTTGTTCTTAAATGAAAGCAATAATTATTGTTCTCAACTCAGAAAACTAAATCTTGCCTGTTGAACAAAATCATAACTCAATTTAAAAAAAATAAAGTTCCAGCATACATTTCTGCTTTTTGGTGGGATGGGAGGAGGAACATAAAAGGTACAGATAGAATGATATCAAGATATTTAAAATGCATATTATTATGTTAATGAAGTTTTAAAATGAAATCTACCATAGAATCTTCAGCAATATAAGTACTTTAATAGAACTGCATCTATAACACATGCTTATAATCTTTATATCACTAAACATTTCATCACAATGATTAAATTTTATTTTTTAATGACGATGATATTGTATACAAGATATAAGATTAGAAATTTTACAATCATTACAATTTGAATATGGTAGTGAGCTTTTTATTACTGCCTCAGATTCTGTCAGAATCAAGATGGATATTTTCCAAAACAACATGTGATTGATCACTGGTGGCGCAAAATCAACTCTTGTTGTTGCTATGGAATTACAGACAGATTTGGAGCCTTTCAGTGAAAGGTGCAAAAGGAGTGCTATAAATGTTGCAGAAAAAAAAAACTTAAGTTTTTTTTTTTTTTTTAAAATTGTTATAGACCAGCAAGTGAAAAACTAAAGACTCATAGATCCTATCTTTCACCTGTATATGACGTTTATGACACTTATGATATTCCTACACCCAATCATCAATTTTCTCCCTGGAATGGAATCCCATTTTAAATCTAGATAAGCTGGAAAAAACACTTGGATCTTATTTTAAATGTCAACAAACACCACAAATAATGCTGCTCTGACTAATATATAGTGCAGGTACCTTCCAGACAAGTGATTCCATTTTTACATAGATAGTTCAGCAAAAAATGTGATAAAAATGCAGGTGCTGGAGCCTATTCAAGTAATTTTTTTAGTATTAGCTATCCTGTTGTGAATTGTAACAATTCTGGTACAGAGATAGCAGCTATAACATACACAACTACACTTTTTGAGCTAAGGGAAAACAGAAAAAAAAAAAAAAAAAAAATTGTCCTTCAGTAGATTCTGAGCCATTGTGATATTTTTCGAAATGAGCAGGCAGATAGACTTGCCAAGGCTGGATCCCTTATGGCTTTGTAGAGTCATTAGGATTTTTGGAAGCAGAAAAGATGAAAATTATGCAACCATCTTCGCCGGGAATCGAACCACGGACCTCTGGAATACCAGCCCAGCGTGTTACCGTTACACCACGAAGGCACGCCAGGGAAGTGAGAGAAATACCTTATATACTCCCCTTTTTAAAGGCCGACTAGGGTTTTTAGAAGACCTAGTCGCCAAATCCTGGGTGCGGAGAATCATAATCCACAACCCTTTTATCATAGTTTGGGCGCCACTTGTAGAGTCATTAGGATTTTTGGAAGCAGAAAAGATTAAAAATATGCAACCACCATCGCTGGCAATCGAATCACGGATCTCTGGAATACCGGCCCAGCGTGTTACCGTTACACCACGAAAGCACGCTAGGGAACTGGGAGAAATACCTTATAGCTTAACCTGATTCCCCTTTGTGCAATATTAAAAGAATTATATATAACAAATTGAAAAATAGCAGAATATCATTACATATACATGCAGCAATGGAAGAAGTAGAATATCCTGCTCAACAAAAGGAATAAAATCCCCACTTCCCTACCTCGGCTGTTGGAGTTGCTTGCTTTCGTTTGACAACCAGCCATGATTATATACAGCAACATTTACATTGGATTGGAGTCAATAATTCAGCTTGTTTCAATCTGTGTCATAAGGGAGATATGGATGATGACCACCTCAAGAATTGCTTTATTATTTAAAGTTTACCAGTGACAACTCTATCGAGGTTCATTTTTACCCTTGTTGTTTTACACTCTCAGCATTTTATTGGGCTACTCGTCGACTAATGGTGGAAATGTGCAAGACAATCATAGAGCATTAAAAAAAAATTTACAATCTCAACACTTTACACGTCATCAGCAGCCTGTATTTTCTATGATACTCATGATACATAAATACTTGCTGCAAAATGTACCTATCATTAACAAAATCTATTTTTAGCATACGAAAAGAATTTTTATTAAATTTTTTCTCGTCAACATTTCTTAGTGTATTTAACTTAAATCTGTAATCATCACAAGCGTAATGTCAACATTAAAGTTTACCATACTCTTTATTATTCAGTTACTAACAAAAAAAAAAAAAAAAAAAAAAAAAAAAAAAAAAACTGTTTAGGCATCGCTATACGAGCCATTATTCAAGTTGTCATGCGTTGATGAACATACGGTGACCACAGCAAAATATAATAATTGATAAATTATTTCAAATATAATAATGATTCGTCAGGTTGGTGTCAGGGATATAAAATATTAATTGGTGTAAAATCAATGATATATCTATGCAGAATGTTTTGGTTTGAGATGTATGCCAAGCAGATACGCATCTACAGGACCAATAAAAAGTTGTTGGTGGCTTTGAGGTCCAGAATATTGGACATCCAGATCTTGGACTTTGTATTGTATTACCTTGGAACATTTAATCCAAGAATGCAAGATCTTATAATATCTGCCATATATGCTGTGTGATGATAGACGGCACTTCAGTGTTGTTACTAACATTTAACTTTCTATTGATGTTGGCTTTATTCCTGAACACAATCTGGAGGCTAATGCGAGGCAGCAGCCAGATTTACCTTGCAGTCATTATGCCAAATCTAATCAGATGATGGTAACATAGGCTCCTGTACAGATGGTTATATTGCAAGAAACTCCAATTATATCACTCATGATGAAAAATACATTACTGCTGCCACTCATTTCAGGAATATGAAGAGCTTAAAAATGGTGCTTCTAAATAGCTGGCAATCTCCACCAATTTGTTTCCATCTTTCATCACTCTTGTCACTAGCATTCAATCCCACTTCTGATACCAGAAATTGATATGTGCATGCAGGTTTGCTATAAACTGAATTCAAATAGAACTGATAATAGCTTTAAAATTTATTTTTTCAAAAGAAACACTTTGCTGTTCTGAACTTTCACAAAAGTATTTGTACAGCTGTTATCAGTGTGATAGAGCACAATCAGTTGTTACCACTTCAAACTACTAAGAACATTAAACACAAGACAATTTTCTTTAAAAAAAAAAAAAAAAAGCCTCAAAGTGTAACAAAGTGAATTCAAATAACAAAGTGAACAACTCATATCTGAACCAAACTAAACTGACGCTCTCTCTGCTCTAAGTTACACAGGGATTGGACTGCAATAGTGGCAAATAGTCACCAGGTTTGGCGACTTTTTATGATTTATCACCAAATTTGTCAAACCTAGATAAAAATAAGTCGCCAAAGCTATCGCCAAACCACTTACCTCAATGTTAAATGGACTTGCCCCTGCAACCTTATTTTTCTGGCAGAGCTTCCCACTTTTGACGTTTTTCATGTTACATTATAAATGAGATACTACAATTTACATATAACTTCATTAAAATCATTTGCATATATACAAAATTCATAACAAAATCAATCTCCTTATGCTTATATTAGCATGCATCTATGCACATTGCAAATTAAAAGAAATTTTAATGTACATTCAATAGCATATATTTAAAGGTATTACACTAGAGTTTACTTACTTTGAGATGAATTAAATTCTCCTTCAGAAAGTAAAACAGGCTGAATCATTTCACCAACAGGAGCTTTTATGGACAAAGTATAACTGTTTTCTGCTGTTTCTAATTCAAATTTTGCAGGCTGAGTGCTTTCATTATAATCAATTCCAAATGTCACTCTAATGCTGGAATTCGGAGCTAGCATTTCTGAAAAGTAAATAACAAATATAAGAACCACATTAAAAAATTATAGGTTGATTCACAATGCCCTTCATGGTTCTAAAGTTTAGAATACAGTACCTATAACAAACTCAGCACACAAATGCATAACAATAAGTTAGCAATACATTCCCAACATGCCATTACTGATACCAGCAGATGCACGCATCATCCTTCCTAACAGTTGGGCTAAATCCTGTGGCAAAGAAGACATAAATACACCATCTTTGACATAAATTTATAGGAAAGAAATCACACAGAGTTATGCGGTGTAGACAAAGAGACCATGGAAGATGAGGAAAGTCATCTCAAAAAGACCACTCAATCCAGTGATCAGGAAATTCACAGAAATAAATGCAGATATAATCATAAAAATAGGAAGGAGAACAACATTTTGTTGAAAAGTAAAATCCTTGTTATTTTCCTGTAATTATGGCCACTGTTCAACACATCTAAATACATTACAGCCATAGAAATTCACTGCACAAAGAAAAATGGCTCATATACTTTACATGATGAAATATCACAAATGTATTGTATCACTCCAAGAAAGCGTCCCATGCCCCAGATGTATGCATTGCAGTGGTTTAACTTACCAAACATGAGACTTATGCACTAAATTAAAAACAAAACCATCCCAACATCTCTGGTAACTATTTCCTGCATGAAGTTTACATTCTCAGACAAAGTTTCCCATCAGAGAGCCTGTTCACTTTGCATCACACAAGCAACCAGTTTAATAGAAGTGGTATAAAATACAAATGGTTTATAAGTTCTTTTGTTTGAAATTTTATATGAAATCTTTACTGCTACATGTAGTTTACATTAGATGAACTTTAAGATGCAGTAAATTTCATATTCACCAGCGCACATCAATTTTCCATAATAGTGAAAACTAGCAATTAAATCTAAGATTATATAAAATGGCCTATCATGAGTGCAAACTTAAAAAAATTTCTTTATGTAATGATATATATACATCTTCAAAGTGTTTATCATAATCATTGTACTAGAAACTTTTGAAATCCTAGAAGGAAATATAAATTAACCTAGTATAAATGAGCCAGAAAGAAATATAAATTAACCTGGTATAAATCAGCCAGAAAGAAATATAAATAAAAAATATTATTTTGCTTAAATTTCTAATAGCAAATTCAATTAAATAAGAAATTTTAAAATCATTCTTTAGCAAAATTCCATATGTGAAATAGAAATATAATTCAATAATTTCAGAATGAGAACAAAACAGTTTTTATAATAAATTTTATTATTATTTATTTACCACTTAATGAAACCTAAATGCCCATTAGAAAACTGGTTTTACAAAATATGAATATTTGTATGCTTATGTTTCAATCAAGGTTCCTTTCATATCATATTTGATAATAAAAGTTAGGTAAATATAATGGACACAAAATTTTTAAAAAATAACATTCATGAAAATATTATCCAGCAAAATTAATCTTTATGAAATTCTTTAGTGTGATGTTCAAATTTTAAAAATTCAAATAATTATCATGAATGTTACATGGAGAAGCAGGAAACTAAATAAAATAAGTTCAAACATAGAATATCTTCTCTTCAAATATACTATGCATTCAGATGTACACTGTGCACGAAAAAAAAAAAAAAAAAAGGAAGGGACAGTTCTGCATCTCCCATTCTATTGGGCCAATTGACAAAATTCAACTTGAGTTTTTCATGTCTCGAAAGCACGACTTAAGATATGTACTAGATTTATATATAGCATTGTTCTAATATAGGTATTTTGACACATAAATGGACTTCTTATGAAATGAAATGCCAATTCTTTTCCACATTTCAATTCTATGACTCAAATTATGCCAAACTACCAAGTTTTGTAAAAACACTGCATGAGTAGTTTTTGAAAAATTAGCTTTCAAAATTTTAGCTCCTCAGTGTTAATTGAATTTGTAATATATTAATTAATATCTCTTTTTTGTATTAAACTTACTTGATTTCTTATTTCACAATTATAAATTTATGTTCAAGCCAAATGAAATTCGCAGATATTTCCCGGTTTATTTTTTTAATTTGTGTTTTTTAGTAATTTTTATGAATTTTTCGAAAACATTTTTAATTATAATTTATAAAATGTTCACTAATATCTTAAAGTAGATGTATTTCTAAGCATACCTGCAAACAATTAGAGTTTTTTATTCAAAATTTTTTAAGATATACGTGAATTTACCCTTTGGCACGATTTGAAATTTTGTCGTAGTTATTATATGCAATAATACTGAAAATGTGGTTTACACACTTTGTTAAAAATTATCTGAAAGAATCAACGATAGACCTTTTTTCCACTTATGCATTTAGTGAAAAAAAAAAAGGAAAGTAAGTAGGTTATTATAAATTAAGAATTTCGCCAAGTGAATTATTCTTGGTGCAAACTTAAAAAAATGCACCAAGATATATTTTCAAATTTTTCAAAAAATTACAAAATTTAATATCTAAGCATAATTTGAGTCGAATCGAAATATGGAAAAGAATTGGTATGTCATTTTAGAAAAAGTCCGATTTTGTGTCAAAATACCTATGTTAGAATAATGCTATATATAAACCTAATATATATCCTAAGTCACGCTTTCGAGACATAAAAAACACAATTTGAATTTCATCTATCAGTGCAATAGATTGGGAGGTATAGAACTGTCCCCCCATCCCCCTCTTTCTTTGGTGCACAATAAGTATATGATTAAAAATACAAAACTTACGAATTTCTGGAAATCCATGGATTTCAATACTTCCTACTTTCTGAAATAGAAAATACAGAAACTGAGTGTAAATGAATTTTTTTTTCAGCATGTATTACTTTTAAACATAGGGTATTTTGTTCACTAATCACAATAAAAAAAGCATTTTCCAAAATATAAAGTAGGCCATAAAGATGTCACCAATTAAAAGATAAATCGATTTTCAATATAAAATATGTATGACAATGATATGAAGGATATTGCACATATGCAGAGCCTTTTCACTTGACTTCAGTTCATATGAATAACTAAACCACCTTCAATCTGAGTTAGTAAATATATTCACTTCATTGCATTTCTCAATGCACCCCTGCTGGATCTCATATTTCTAAATGCAATTTTCATCACATTTTTCAATGCACCCCTTCTCTTCATGACATACATACAATGATTGCCATGGGTTAAAAAATGTTCACAATTTACCGACAAAGGTCACTAAGATCTCTTGCTTTCACAGTATAAATGTAATCCTTCTTTATATCCCATAATCAATAGTTGAACGGCAGAGATCATGAACACAAAAGAAAAAAAAGTTGGTACACTATACATGTTAAAAAGAAATACGAATTTGTAAGGTGTACATAAAATCTACTACTCAACATCTAATTGGTAACACCTTTATATATTATATAGCATCTTTAAAGTAAAAGAATAAAGGTAAGATAGGTTCAAATAAAACTATAATGATTATCTAATATACTAAAATTCAGGTTCTTTTGTATCACACAGAGAAAAATCAGTCACATACAAAGCCTGTTTTTTGTTAATTAGGTTAATATTCTACAAATATTATTTTCTTGACATAATAATGCTGAAATTATGAAAACTTTTGATGCAGAAACAAACCACAGACAAATAATTTCATTTTATGCACTTACTTTGCTGAATACACCTATGTTAAAATTACTGGCTTTGTTAGTTTTAAAAAGAAAGCACTACATTTATAGGAACCAAAGGAATCAGATAATGTTGTCAAAAGAAAAGTACCTAGCAAATGGCAAACTTTTCCATCTCGATTAAACAAATATTCATAAAATGCCTATCCTGAATCTGGTAGACATATCACTTTTCCATGGGGGCAGGAGGGGAAGAAAAGAAAAAAGAAAATATTTCTTTACATTTCAATTTATTAAAAAATACTGTTCAAATATATGGTCATCTTATGTCACATTTCCAATGTATGTGATAAGTTTTCCATTACTTGTAAGCTCTAGTATTCTATACACAATGAATATCATATAAAACAATTTATTTCAAATAAAAGAATGGAAATTCAATCAACAATACCTATTCTTCCCTCTCTAAATCATAGCAAAAAATCTGAAAACACTTAAATTAGGTACATTCAATTTTCACTCATTAATATAAATAAGAAAATTCAGACCTTTCTGAATATAGTTTAACAATATTAGTATTACCTACATAAAAATAACAGCATTAGCAAAATAATATAATTTAAGAAAAACAGAACTCCAGATATCTCAATTGCTTATTCTTCTTTCAGGGCCAATTAAAAACAAGCTTGCAATAATTTACCACATTTAATTCAACAAATAGGTTCACTACACATTACTTGTTAAATAAACAGTCTATCAACATTAATACACTTATCACAGACTTTGTAGCAACTTCATGATATCATGCCTGTTTAGTATTTTTTGTTACCAAACGATTTACTAGTGTGTCTTTGCAACATTAGATGGCGTTGCTGCCTGATGATTCAATTCTGGTTGCTATAGTAACGAACTTTCAACTCATAATTTATGTGATTTGTATTCTTTTCTTTTTTGTCTTATTAATTGCTACTGTGCTTTGAGTGATGTGAGCTGTGTCGTCACGTGGACGGTATTCCTTCTATTTCAAAGTGTTATGTAAAATAAGCAAGTGATAATTACAGTCCGCTTACCTTTTTTTGTGAACTTATTCATAACAATGCCTATTCATAATAAGAATTTATTGAATTGTCCAGAAATTATTTTTTTAATTAAAATTTTCAAAAAAAAATTATACAAAGAAATAACATAAATTGGAAATGTGTTTACTATTCATTAACCATCTTCCCAGCATTTTTGCCTAATTTTACTTCCAAAGAACTTCTAATCTTTTGGTTCAAAAAAAAAAAAAAAAAAAAAAAAATTTTTTTTTTAAAGCCAGATTTGACACTGTTATCTAAAATGAAAGCTTCTACCTGATGCTTTGCACAGCATGAAACAAATAGTAGACTAATAGTAAAATATCAAGGCTATCTAAGGTGGATATTATAACACATTATTCCAAAACTGCTAATAAAGATACAAGTTGACTTGGTAATGACATAAAAGAATAATACCTTTATGATTCACCAGTTTTGAATGTTTCCATTGCAAAGAAGTTTTCGGTTTTGCTACTCGTTAATAGCACATATTAGAATTGATCATTTCATTCCCTGGCAACAGCTTATAAACATTTCCACTATAAACCTACCAAACTAATAACATTGTATTCTTTTAATGATTATTAGGTTTCAGTATTTTTTAAGCCAGCTCAGCAGGATTAGATCATACTTTGTATCATTATAACTCTAAATAAGGGGTCTTCAATATGGTCATATACTTAGACTATCCGCAAACACTTTCTTTTAAAACTAACAAAGCCAATAATTTTAATGTAGGTGTATTCAGCAAAGTAAGTGCATAAAATGAAATTATTTGTCTGTGGTTTCACCATCAAAAGTTTTCATAATTTCAGCATTATTATGTCAAGAAAATCATATCTGTAGAATATTAACCTAATTAACAAAAAACAGACTTTGTATGTGACTGATTTTTCTCTGTGTGATACAAAAGAACCTAAATTTTAGTATGGACTTGGAGCAATAGTTATCATATCATATACTTGGACTTGGAGCATCAATGAAAAGAGTTAAATTTAAAATTATAATGTAATAAATTAATATAATACAGATAAGTTTATGCTACCATTTCTAACAGCAACTGTACTGCAACCTACAGTATGAATTTACAGAACTACTTGTTAAAATTCATAAAAAGCTGGAGCTGTTTTTAACCATGTTCATTTCATCTTAACAAAATACAGACAGATATGTGTAGCTCCTTGGAGATTTAAAGCTAATCTTGCACTAAGCATTGTTACCTTTCCAAAAGTCATCAAACATGTCCTTCACATTGGTATTGTCAGACAATTCTGCTAATTTTATAAAAGTTTCATTATACAGCACCTCATTAAGTAGTAATATCTAATCTAAATAACATATCTAAATTAGATATATTTGAGCTAATATATATATTTAAGCACTGTAAAACTGATATATTGAAACACTGCAAAACAATCTAAAAATCAGAGTAGTGTTTTCTTCCTGCTATTATTAATAATACAACAGAAGGGAAAGTTCAATTGTCAAAAATATTTAGACACCCATACTCTAAACCAGGGCTTCTTAAACATTTTTCAGTCATGACCTTTTTTTATCAACGAGATTTTTTCTGTGAACTTAGGACCCCATAATATTTACGAAAGTTTTGTGAGATCCCACAAACATTGTGCAAATCTGACACACAAGTGAGTGAAACTGTCAATTTTTTCACTTGTACTGTAATATACTATTGTAGTTTTAGGCTATTAACTTTTTAATTTCTAAGACATAGAACAATGTGAAAATTTTAAATAAGTAACAAACGAAATGACGTGACATACAAAGCAAGTAAAATGAACGTTTATATTATAAAAAGTATGCGTCGAAATGTTTTAGTTTTTTCTTTGTCTGTATTGTCTTATCTTTATCTATTTTCAGATACACTGTGCAAAAATATTTGGTAATTGTAAAATTATTATAATGCGTTAAAGAAATATCAAAACTGCTAAAATTTTTGGCGACCCCATGGGGACCGCAACCCACAGTTTAAGAAAATAAGGGGAAAAAAATTTTAGTAAAAATTTAGGGGGCCGCGACCCACAGTTTAAGAAAATAAGAGAAAAAAAATTTTAATAAAAATTTAAGAAACAATCCATTTTTTATCACCAGTCATCAATCATTTCAAAAACAATTTATTTTGTGGTTCTATTTCAAAACCAAATCTCATATTTTAATACACTTTATTAAATTCACTTAGGTACTTTTCACTTGAAGCCATATTATTTGGCACTTCTTTGCTTTGGCGTATTTTCTTGGCATTAAGTCTTATGAGTTTTGTTTGGTATCTTTTCTGATGATAATGGTTTTTATAGCCACTATCCACATGACATTTTTCACATAAACAGTTACCAACCCCTCTCCAGTGATGGATTCTATGACTTTGCATTTGCCTAGAGATTTAAGAAGCAGTTACCCTGTTTTTTCAAGACATAGAATACTGTTCATAACAAAAGTCTGTGTTTAAATAGCCATATAATAAATTTAAAATGTGACTAAAAGTCAAAATCGGCTACGAAGTCTTTTCTTATGCTGATAAGAATAAAGAAATCAGAATACATGTGTTTGTTGCATCACATATTCTTTTTGTTACTGCCATGATTCATTTAATACTTTTGGAATTAGGAGTTAGCATTTATTCAATTCTGTGAACCAAAGATGGTTTCAAATGAATTCCAACACAATGACTGATCAGAATAACTAAACAGGAGGTATGTACCTATTCCTATCCTAATGTTAAAATCAATAAATGCAATAAATTGCTGCAACTGATGAAGCTTATTTACACACACACACACACACACACACACAAAAAAAAAAAAAAAAAAAGAGTTACCCATACAGTGGGTTTTTGGAAAATTTTTTCATGAAATTAGAAAATGCTCCTTGCTGCAGGTTTTGATCATTCTGCTTCATCTAGTGTCGAGTTAAAGGCATGGCTAAAGTTTCCTTTAAAATAATAAATTAGCTTTAATGGAAAGTAACCACATTTCTTTAAATTCACATGAAATCTAATTTTTTTTTTAACTTTTGGAATTAATTTTTTCAAATGCCATCAAAAGGTTTTAAGATGAATTTAGACTCTCTTCAAGCTCAAGTACAAGACAATCAGCTTCAATCAAGTATTTTTAAATTATCATCATCAATCTTGGTCTACCAGCACACAGTAAATCTTCAACAGAAAAATGAAATTTTGAAAAATAATTCTTGTATGTCCATTCTTTAGCACATCATAATCATACACAAAACAAATTCTTTTCGGGGAGGTATGAAGGGACATCTGTGGTTCTTTTATCTTTACAGATATAAAAGCCATAGCTAAAATGTTTACTTTACACTCCGACTCTTCAACATAAAATCCCTACATAAACATTCCATGATTTTGATAAATTGCATTCAAAATGCATACTGATATATCAATTACAAATTGCATTCTTAAAAAATTTTTAAAACGACGTTAAAGTTGTCAGAACACAATTACAGCTACCTTATGAAACGCTTGTGAAAAAAACCTAAAGTAGATTTCCCAATATACAAAATGTGTATCTGCTGCTAGTTAAACTTAGGCCAAACAAATATTGTGTGTGGCACAGATTTTAATTAAAACTGTTGCTTGCGAGGGTGAACAGGTATATATCCCTCTTTGTCAGAATAAAAAAAAAAAAAAAAAATTCTGCAAAGAGGAAAGGAGCCACAACCACATTTATAACAAAAACAAAGAGCAGAGCAAAGCAAACACGAGTATAGTGCCATCTGTCCAGGATAATAGCAAAGAAATTTTTAAAATATTAGGAGGCGCTGAACTGGAATTAATGTCATTAATTAAAAAATGATTTGTGAATATGAAGAACTTCATGGAAATCCAATTCACCAAATGAAGTAGTTTATGGATAATTTTTACAGACGCAAAGTCAAAAATGTATTAAATGAACCTTGGGTCTATGAAAATTCCCATGGTCCACTTTATAGTACGCAATATAGAATGACACACTGAATATCATCATTTAGAAATTTGAAGAAAATTTCTAAACTTCTGCTTTTATCATTTATGGATTATGAAGTCACCTCCGATATGACTAAAATACCTTTCTACTGAAAATTCAAAGCTATGCAAATCACTACACACTGTTTTGTATAAATTTTAAAGTGTAGCATTAAAAATTGTGTTGCTCCTAAAATTTTGCACAGTAATGCAATTAATTAACATGAGTTACAACAATAAAAAAATTATGAATGTAATTTTTCTAATAAATATTTCATTTCCTTTATTCATAAAGTTGCCTGGGGTTCTAAATTTTCTTCAAAGTTAGGCAATAGAATTCACACAATCTGCACACACTAGAAACAAGGGTTTCTTCAGTCACAGGTCATGCCTCTTTCTAATTAAGTCCAGATTACAACATTAAGTCTAGATTATTTGTGCATAAATAATCAACCAAGACATGGCTTTGAAATTATGTAATCAAGATTTATTCAATATAAAACTGGATTTGAGGAATGTTATATCTTTTAAATAATATTACATATACAAAAAATAGCATCAATACAAGTGGGGAAGTGTAATCAAGATATAAAATATAGAATTATTTTGAAGAAAGAAATCTTTATCAAAAATTCATCAAAGATTTTTATGTTAAAAAAAAATGCAGATCTATTAAAATAATTGCTTTTGAAATAATTTTTACTTTTAAATGAGAGAAAAAGTAAATAAATATCCTTGAATTCCTACATAAATTCTGGCATCATAATTTCAGTCCATTAGATTAATAATGCTGAAAAAAATTAAAAGAATTCTTTTTTCTTTATTAAAAGAAAATTTCTTTATTCTTCCTTACCTTTACTTTATTTATTTATTTTTTATTTATTTATTTATTTATTTATTTATTTTTAATTTTTTTGAGGGAGGGTTCAGAAAAGTTTTACAATTGCTATTTGCAAAAATTTATTCTTAGTCACCTGCCTATGTAACACTTGCTCATTGTGTATAATATAAACAAACAAACCATAAAGTGTAAAGTTTGAATGCAACATTTGAAACGTTGGAGACAAACTATTGACACATACCACAAAAATTTAAAATTAATTATTTAGATAAATTCAAAATTAACATTACAGGATAGTAGAACAAGCATTAAAAGAATGGATTAAGCTAAAGCAAAAAATTTGCTGAGATTCCCAATTTACATTTCCAAGAAAGTTGAGACAGAAGCAGTTAAGTTAAAAAGTAGTTTCTTCAATCAAAATATGTAATGTAGTAGTATTTCTGTTATATTTTACATTAATGTTACAAAGGGTAAACAAAATCAAAAATACCAACACATAATTATACAGTACCAATACAATGATTTAAAAATAAAAGCTTTAAAATACCTTAGTTGGAATATGAATCCCACATATTTCTTTATCAGAGGAATTATTTATGGATAATTCTACAGTTGTCATTTTTGCCGAATATAAATTAGGACTTCTAGTAAAACGATAAGTAATGCAAACTCCTTTGCCATTATATTTATTTAAAAGTTCATATTGCTTTGTGGGGGTGAAAGCTGCAGAAACAGTCTGTAAAAGAGAGGAGAGAATTAGATGATAATATCTTAATTTACAAAATAAAACTTTAAACTACTTTTCATGAAACTTAATTTCATAAAAAAATTTCACATTAAAGACAAATACCTTGAAAAGTCCCTTGTTATGGGTATGAGCACAGTAAAATTTATCGACAATACAAAGAAATATACAAAATACTAAATTTAAAAAAAAAAAAATAAAACAGTTTTTCAGCAACCTTAAAAAGAATCTGTATACAAACAAAACCAAGTAATGTCACTTTTTATTAATCTAATTTATAATTATTATTTTATATTTTTATTAATCTAAATTATAATTTAAAGTATGTAATTGCCCAAGGTACAATAAAGTAAAATACATCAACATTTTGCAGCAATTACTAAAATGCCTATAACATTTGACTAAATATTAAGTCAGAGTGGGAAAAAACTGATACCCCAAGTAAAACTGAGTGCACATAAAACAAAGTTATTTGCCACTGGTCTTAGATTGACAGTTCTTTCAAGGAGTAACACTATCACCTCAGTTCCAGATGGAAGATGAGGATAGCATTCAATTGCTGAAAGATTTTTTTGCTTAAATAAAATTGATGCCAAATAACATTGCTTTATCTGTACTCAGCAAATATTATGTCATTTAGTAATGCCTGGTATGCATAACCCTGTGTGACACAAAACAATGTTTACATGACTATCTATCAAAATACTGCCACCCTCACAAAATTTAAACACATCATTAATAAGTTAGGCTAAAAAACATAACCTGAACAAATTTAATTGACTATATATTAAAACAAAAATATTATTTCAAATGTAATTGACATAACGACTTAGGTTATTACATCAAATTTTCTGGCTACTGATAGATTTTTTTTTTTTTTTTTCTTTTCTGATATTAATAAAATCATGGGGGAGAGTATCTTTACCGTGTTAAAAAATAGTCTCTTAATTAAAAAGATATTACAATAAACTCATTTTCTTATGATAAAATTTGTTCTTCAGCAACCAATCTTTTCATTATTGACTCAGAAACCACTCTATTTACTCAGCATTTACTATAGATCTGTATAATTATTAACTGTGCCTTTTCTTTTCATAACTTTATGTTTATGCATACAATTTCAATACTTTCCATTCATTGGCACAGATAATTACAGAAAATAAAACAGCAAAATGTTTTAAACAAAACTGTACAAAAAAAAAGTGGCATTGAAGACATATAAGTAGTCAAACTACACACAGGGTTAGAGATTTTATTTCAGGTTTTAATTTTTTAAGAATTTAAAATATTCTTTGTCAGTATGGTTAAACATATATCAGGAAAATTAAGAGAGCTTTAAAACTTGCCATTAAAATCTTATATCAGAAATAGGGAAATTATTAAATCCTTTAATGATAATCACTGCTGCTCTGTTGACTATTTCTGTAAATTTAGTTCTGCAAATATTCTTTAAAATATATTTTCAGGAGGTGAGTTAAGATTTTCTTGAAGCCTTTTACATTTTTAAAAGTTTATCAACTTTAGTTAATCCAGTCCTGTTTCATCCACTATTTAAATGCCATATCTCATAATTTTTTTAATCTATTCCTTTTATTTTATTCACTAGATGATGCAATAATGACTGTTTCCTTTCCTACTACTAATCTACTTTGATTTTGTTTATTTAAATGATTTATTTTCATCAAAACTATATTTTGAAGAATATGACTGACAGATTTAATCAAAAAGGACAAGGCATTTCTGTTATTTCATCCTCTGGCTGCTCATCCCGTGATTTCCGCGGACATGTCTTTTTCTTCCTTTATTGAGGAGCACATCCCGTTTTTCCCCGTTTAACCACTGAAATAAATTATATACAGTATTAGGTTTATGTTTTGGCCAACAGATGGCGTTAGTTGTTCACTAAATTGCGGTACTTGAAGGCACATGGTATTACCGCTCAAACTCCACTTTTTGTGTTTTTTTTCTTTACACAATTGGCTGCTAGAAAACATTCAGTGATTATCTTAATTATTTAATTAAATTATTGAATTATTGATTAGATTAATAATTAGATTATTGAATCTGGTGCAAAGACTGTGAAGTTGGACTTTGCCTTGAACCCTGTTTTGAACTCTATCATACTAAACTGCATTTCTAAGGTATTTTTTCCTCAATGCTTTATATTTTCTTAAATTTTATATATTTTACTTTTTTACATATGAAATAAATGGAAATTAGCTGTCATTCTACTGAAATTTAATTTAAAATTTTTTTTTTTTCTGCTGATAACATCTGAAATTTGTTTTTCCGGCAACTTAGTTTCTCATGATAAAAATCTATATGAAAAAATAGTTTCTAGAAAGTAAAAATGCATTTTTCAATTCTCCAATATATATAGATTTAAAATATTAGGGGGGGATTTTTTTGGGGGGGAAGTAATTTTGTTCCACAAATTGAGCAGTCAGAGGGTTAATCTAACATTAGATTTTATCTAACAAAGTCTTCCAAATTAAATGTGAGTGACATGTCACAGAATGGCAGAAAATTCATGAGCTTACAGCCTACAAAAGAAAATTACTGATTATAGTCTGTTACTTTAAAATAGGAACTTCAAATTCTTTTTGGCTTTCACCTATTTATGATCATAACCTATGTCCTTATATCTGCACTACACTTACTTTCTCTACCTAATTTGAGTCTGTAGTTCAAGTCAGCCTCATACAGGGTATTTCAGAACTATTGTTCAGAAATGAGTGTGGAGATTTGGAACATGATAACAGGCAATAATCAGACGAAATGTAGGGTTGATGTGAAATTTTGACATGGAAGTTAGTAGTGAATGTCAGGAGGAATTCTAACCATGATGAAGAGCATGTAGAAGTATGAATCGTTGTTCAAATAGTAAAATGGAAAATACGCACCTCATTTAACAACAGCTAACTGCAGTGGAGCAGCTGCTAGGAAAATGCATCATTCCCAGTTTCTCAATAAATGCATCCCACATCATGACATGTTCAGATACCTGCATAAGCGATTGCACAAAATAGCACAATTCAAAACACGAATGATACTGGTGCTGAGACAATTCGATGTGAATCTAGTGGTATGCATCATTGCTGCTGAAAGGTGTTGCAACTGATATACCTGGCATTTTTGCAAACATTTGCTCATTGATGCATCGTCGTTGCAAGGCATGTATTGCACCTGCAGATCACTTTGAATACTTGCGTTAACACTTTCATTTCAAATAATACTGTTGTGAATACCATTTTTTGTCTAATAAATCTTCCTTATTTGTAACCTGTCTTGAGTCTTTCTGTCTCTGTCTTTGTGGACATGTAGCACATCAGCTGTGCAAGCGACTCTGTGTTTCTGTACGATTATTGCCTGTTATCATGTTCCAGACCTCTATTCACATTTCTGAAAAAACCCTGTACACATCAACTGCAATTATATATCAAAATAGTTGAGCATGATTTCACATTACATTTTCTTGAAAGGTTAATATTTTCAAAACGTACATATTTTAAAGCCAAGATCATATACAGATTTTGTATATACAAATTTATTAAAAAATAAATTTAAAGTCATTAAACAGTGTGCAATAAAAGTATATAAAAAACCAGAAAGGATTAAGTTTAATTTATGCCGCTCAGCATTAATGTTATGAAATTAAATGAAAAGCGGTTTTGAGCAAATCAGACAAAGGTCTCCCACATAAAATCTAGTACACTTTTCCCTTTTAAAAGTCTATTTTTATGCCATATATTCAGGAGTAACTAATGTATTCCATTAGTCTGGAGAGATGTACATTCAAATGATTATTTGATTATATAATGGGGAGAATGTAATAACAATGGCAACATATTCACATTATGAATTATTGAAAAGTAGCCACTTAACCCACTTAAATTTTATTTTTCCATCTTACTTTAATAGGTGTCTTATTATTGCCTAGAATTAGCAATACCAAATGGTAAGGAAGTTAAGATAACTTTTAAAAATTTTTATAGCATGTAACTGTAGCTTTTATAGCACATTATGTGTTTCACATTCATCATAATAATGATTTAAAGCAGCATTTCTCTAATTTCATAGCCTTTTGCAATAAAAGATGGTTTTATTTTATGTCTAAAATACATCAATATAAATTCCCAGCATTCTAAAATAATTTTATTACTTTACAGATGCTTGTGTCATTTCATAACCTTGGGTTCCTTGTGTGACATTTATGCAAAATATCAATATACATAGTAAAGGAGACCATCTAACATAGGAGATCAAGTATCTTACTTATGGATACTTCAGAATATACAAGATATGCTGAATTACTACAAGATTTCAAGACATGAAGGAGCATTACAATGATTCACCAATTTTTAAAACAGCATAACTTCCAATTTAGTATGTGTTCTCGCTAATCACATAAAAGAAGGAATGTCCGAAATTACATGAACCATGCTGCAAACATAAGTTCCACTTTCAAAAGAGTGAATTATAGGAAAAAGTGTTTTATGTTTTAGAACATGCCAAGTGTTTATTTTACTGTGTTACATGCATTTTGAAAGTAGTGTAATATAGATCTACAAACGCATTACAATATTCTGCAATGGTATTGATCAGGGCCAGTCAACCTTTTTATATCCACCACTCACTTTTTAAGTAATAAAATTTCCTTACCATCTACTTCACAGTAACTTAGTTTAGTGTAAATGCAAAGTAATTTTTTGAAATAATGCTTAGTAATATATATATATAGTTAAATTGATCCATTCACTTATACTTTACTCATATTTATAAGAGCTGAAAATTATGTTCCATGTAACTAGCCAGGACATCCATTCTAGCGAAACTGTTTCGGCTGGGAAACTTTCAATGGTAGAAAAAGGAGAAGTTTTTTCCCTTGGAAAAATGTATCCTAGCCTCACCCTTTGTTAAGATAGGATAATCCCTTATGAACACTATACTCACAGAACAACACCTAAGAGAAGTGGCAAAGGCTTATAAAT